GGGGAAAAAAGTATTTAATCAGCCACCAATTGTGCAAGTTCTCCCACTTAAAAAGATGAGAGAGGCCTGTAATTTTCATCATATGTATACCTCAACTATGAGAGACAAAATGAGAAAAAAAATTCCAGAAAATCACATTGTAGGATTTTTAAATAATTTATTTGCAAATTATGGTGGAAAATAAGTATTTGGTCAATAACAAAATTTCATCTCAATACTTTGTTATATACCCTTTGTTGGCAATGACAGAGGTCAAATGTTTTCTGTAAGTCTTCACAAGGTTTTCACACACTGTTGCTGGTATTTTGGCCCATTCCTCCATGCAGATCTCCTCTAGAGCAGTAATGTTTTGGGGCTGTCGCTGGGCAACATGGATTTTCAACTCCCTCCAAAGATTTTCTATGGGGTTGAGATCTGGAGACTGGCTAGGCCACTCCAGGGCCTTGAAATGCTTCTTACGAAGCCACTCCTTCGTTTCCCGGGTGGTGTGTTTGGGATCATTGTCATGCTGAAAGACCCAGCCATGTTTCATCTTCAATGCCCTTGCTGATGGAAGGAGGTTTTCACTCAAAATCTCACGATATATGGCCCCATTCATTCTTTCGTTTACACGGATCAGTCGTTCTGGTCCCTTTGCAGAAAAACAGCCCCAAAGCATGATGTTTCCACCCCCATGCTTCACAGTAGGTATGGTGTTCTTTGGATGCAACTCAGCATTCTTTCTCCTCCAAACATGACAAGTTGAGTTTTTACCAAAAAGTTCTATTTTGGTTTCATCTGACCATATGACATTCTCCCAATCCTCTTCTGGATCATCCAAATGCTCTCTAGCAAACTTCAGACGGGCCTGGACATGTACTGGCTTAAGCAGGGGGACACGTCTGGCACTGCAGGATTTGAGTCCCTGGCGGTGCAGTGTGTTACTGATGGTAGCCTTTGTTACTTTGGTCCCAGCTCTCTGCAGGTCATTCACTAGGTCCCCCCGTGTGGTTGTGGGATTTTTGCTCACAGTTCTTGTGATCATTTTGACCCCACGGGGTGAGATCTTGCGTGGAGTCCCAGATCGAGGGAGATTATCAGTGGTCTTGTATGTCTTCCATTTTCTAATAATTGCTCCCACATTTGATTTCTTCACACCAAGCTGCTTAGCTATTGCAGATTCAGTCTTCCCAGCCTGGTGGAGGTCTACAATTTTGGTCTTGGCCATGGTGGAGTTTGGAGTGTGACTGTTTGAGGTTTTGGACAGGTGTCTTTTATACTGATAACAAGTTCAAACAGATACCATTAATACAGGTAACGTGTGGAGGACAGAGGAGCCTCTTAAAGAAGTTGTTACAGGTCTGTGAGAGCCAGAAATCTTGCTTGTTTGTAGGTGACCAAATACTTATTTTACCGAGGAATTTACCAATTAATTCTTTAAAAATCCTACAATGTGATTTTCTGGATTTTTTTTTCTCATTTTGTCTCTCATAGTTGAGGTATACCTATGATGAAAATTACAGGCCTCTCTCATCTTTTTAAGTGGGAGAACTTGCACAATTGGTGGCTGACTAAATACTTTTTTGCCCCACTGTAATTGCATCTTATGTGTTTTCAATTCAATCGTTTTAATAAAATTCTTGATAACGTTGCTTTAAACTTTGAAACTGTCCAAAACACGGAAGTAGCGGAATGCCTAGTAAGGCAACACTTGCTCCGCCCACTTCCGGCCTCAGACTGTTAGTCTGGTGCTGTTGTCCTCAGACTGTCATGACGTATGGTTCTGCGGTTCTGCAGTTAGTCCTATCTCTGCTGTTCCGGATCAAAGAATGATGAATGATGCTCACACACAGAAAGTGCCCAAAATGTCATGCGTAAAATATATAATAATTAATAAAATGCCATGTGTAATAATAAAAACGCCCCAAATCCGGTGTGTTAATGTGAGGGAGGAGCGAGAGGAGGAGACATCAGTTAAACAAACATCCCGGAGACAGAGAGGGTGACATGAATGAACAACACTGAGAGAGAGAGAGAGAGATTCTAAAAGGAGCGGACGCGCTCGCAGCGAGTCATTGATGTTGACGATCTCGCGCAGGTTCCTTTATGGCGTCGCAGGCGGACTTCTGCGGGATGCGAGCGTCGCGAGCGTCGCGAATCCTCGTCCAGCCTCTGGGACTCTCGATATGAGCCGGATTACGGTGAGCACGAAGCGCCCCGATGGACCCGAGCGGACCGAGTCTCCGCTGATCCGCACAGCAGCAGCAGCATCTCCTCCGCCGGACACGACATGGATGATTCGGGAATAATCAGGCGCAGGCGGCTCCAGGTCAGAGATGCATCCCTTTAGACACCATTACCATGTTTTCTGGACGCGCACCAGGGTTATACTATGGTTTTTGTCCATGCATAGGGGAGATACCATGGTCAAGTATCTTGAAGTAACATGCATTTGAATATGGTAAACATTCAGTACTATGATGTAATCAAGTATACCATGATGTGAGATCTGATTGGACCATATATAGACTGTGTAACCAGTGGGGAGTGGTATTCTTGGAAATACCATTGGTAATCATTCAGTGCAATGGCATTATAGTGTGTTTTTGTAAACGTACTATAGTATAGTACCATGGTATTCTTTGAAGTGTCTTGAATGCATAAGGTAAACATTCAGCACTATGATATATGTCAAAATACCATGGTATTACTATCTGATACTCTCATTACTACATAAGGACATTGTAACCAATGGGAAGTGGTATTCTATGGAATACCATATTATTCATTCAGTACCATGGTATATATCAATGTACTATGGTATTAATGTGTTATTAAACATGTATTATACTAACACCACATTTTCTGGACATGTACCATTGCAATATAATGGTTTTTGGCCATTTTTGGGGAAGCACTTGTCATTCTTTGAATTGCCTTGAAGTAACATGGTATATGAATATGGTAAACATTATGTACTATGGTATATATCCAAAATATCATGGTATTACTACTGTTATTCTCTGAATGGACCACTTAAGGGCAGTCTAACCAACGAGGAGTGGTATTCTTTGGAGTACCATGGTAAATGAATATGTACCATATGTCAACATGGCATTACCATGTTTTTCTGTACAATATGCTGTAGTAATACCATGTTTTCTAGACATGTAACATGGTAATACTGTGGTTTTTTGCCAAGTATGCATATGTAAATATTCAGTCCTAGGGTATATATCAAAAATACCATGGTATTTCCATCTGATAGTCTGATTGGACCACAAAAGAACAGTCTATCCAATGGTATGGTATTCTTTGAAATACCATGGTAAATAAAGGTTATAATTATCTGGTACCATGGTGTTAGGTCTATAGTAATAGCATTTTTTTGGACATTGGCAGTAACATGGTTTTCTTTAAAGTAGCTTGTAAATACCATGGTATTTGAAAGGGGTTTTCGTTTAGTTGCATTTGTACAGTATAAATGCCATCTGAGGCTATTTGTAAGGTGAAAATAATCCGGCCTCTTTAATACTGAGGATCTCTGAGCTGCCATGATGAGATATTTGCATGTGTGTGTGTGTTCAGTGGGGTTTATCTGAATCCACTGCTTTGTCGGGACGAGTGTGTGTGTGTCGACATCAGAAATCGCTTCTCTATCTATAGTTTCACAATGTGTTAAATGGTCTGATATGATATCACACACACACACACACACACACACACACATACACATACACACACACACAAAGTCTGAGACACCATTAAGACCATTACGATTTATTGTGTTGATTTTGCACACATAACTTAAGTAAAAAAAAAAATAACTTAAGCACATTTACCCCAAAATTGTCATTATTGTAATGCATAAATAAATAAATCCAATTACTAAAATACAGTAGGAAAAATCATTTTACCTGAAAACATTTTGTTTAAATCTGCAAATAAATAAAGCAATAAATAAATAAATGCTGCACAACAAATACTGTCATGATGTACAAACATTTTACAGTTAATTTGCTAAGACTTTACAGTAAGGTCCCATTAGTTTGCTTTAGTTAACTAACAATAAGCAAGACATTTGTTACGGTATTACTATTTATTAATCTTTGTTAACGTTTGTTAATAAAAATACAATAGTTCTTTGTTAGATCATGTCGGCTCAGGTCCATTAAATGATATTAAAAGATACATTTTAATAATGCATTAGTAAATGTTGAAATTCACTTTAACTAAGATTAATAAATGCTTCAGAAGTATTTTTAATTATTAGTTTATGTTAACAAATGAAACCTTATTCTTAAGTGTTACAGTTATATTAATATATCAGTATTTTTTCAATTTCAGAGATTATTTGACATATACAGTAATGAGAATTACTCAAATCAAACCAAAAAAGAATACATTGTAACAAAAAGTATGAAGATAAACTATATTTCAACATGCACATACATTTTAAGATCATGCAAACATTAATCTGTCCGTAAACAGCCTCATTTGGCCACAGAATTTGGGGTGAAATGTGTTTAATTGTCATGAAATTAATGCCACAGTGCAAAGAAATCCTAAAAATAGGTTTCATTTATGCAAAATATAATTGCTTGGCATTGTGTGTGAGTGTGTTTCAAACATGTGACATATTTTTCGCTCGGTGTGAGAATAATTGCCCTCAACGTATTTTGCCATGTCCCTTGGGTCTCGTGCATCTCACACACACACACACACACACACACACACACACACACACACACACACACACACACACACACACACACACACACACACACACACACTCAGTGTGTTCTTTATATAACATATACAGTAATGAGAATTACTCAAATCAAACCAAAAAAGAATACATTGTAACAAAAAGTATGAAGATAAACTATATTTCAACATGCACATACATTTTAAGATCATGCAAACATTAATCTGTCCGTAAACAGCCTCATTTGGCCACAGAATTTGGGGTGAAATGTGTTTAATTGTCATGAAATTAATGCCATAGTGCAAAGAAATCCTAAAAATAGGTTTCATTTATGCAAAATATAATTGCTTGGCATTGTGTGTGAGTGTGTTTCAAACATGTGACATATTTTTTGCTCGGTGTGAGAATAATTGCCCTCAACGTATTTTGCCATGTCCCTTGGGTCTCGTGCATCTCACACACACACACACACACACACACACACACACACACAAACAAACACTCATTGTGTTGGTTATTCAGTTAACACCCCTCCCCGCTCCGCTGCACTGTTGCTGCCATATGGTGCAACACACTGTCTCAGCGGTCAAAGGTCACTCCCATCATGCAGCAGGGTGCCGCATGCACATTAGGAGCTGATGCAGGAGGGTTTAAGGTGCATGCATGTGGCTTTAAATTAGATTTAAGTCGGATTTTTCATCATTGTTGACATGCTTTTTCATCATTGTCAGAGCTCAACAGTGTTCATTTCTGAAATAGACCCACAAAGCTGGCGATTTTCGCTGTGACGCAGACTCCAGCAGATTTCCCGGAAGTCTCTTGTTTAATTACTGAAGGCGTCCGATGCACATTTTCTCCTGATGCGCAGAGCCATTAGTACAAATAGTTGGAGGAAATCCCGAAAATCCCAGCAGAAGGTGCATGCAGTGATAACTCAGGGGCTGTTTTGCGGACAGCCGTGTTCTGCTGGCACCGGGACGCTCTTAGGTTAATGAGGCTCAGATTATGGGGCTGGCGCGGTAAATGATGGGTTTGCACCAAACGGTGGGCAGGAGGCCCAGATAATGCCATTTCATTACAGCTCAGACTGCTTTTTCAGCCCGTCATCATTCAGACGGATCATCTGGAATTAGAATTGATGGTGATCAGACTCTATTCAACTCATATTAAAAAGAGAAATATAATACACAGAAGTGAATATTTACCTTTTTTTTTTTTTTAAAGAAAATGTGCTTGCTTATGCAAAACTCACCAGCTAGGGTTATTATAGTTTAACTATAACTAAAACTAAAACCATAAAAAAACTTTTTTTTTTACTTAAAGATAAAAAAATGTTAGCTGAAATTAAATAATATATAAAGTTTGCACATGATAAGAAATAATAAGAAACACCAGTAACGCTTTATAATAAAATCTAATTTCTTTACATTAGTCAACACTAACAATAAACAATATTTTTTTTACAGCATTTAGTTAATAAAAATGCATTTCTTCACTCTTTGTTCATGTGCATTAGCTAATGTTAACAGATACAACTTTTGATTTTAAAAATGTATTGAATTAACATTAAGTAACATTATTAAACTGCTGTACTCATTTTTACTACATGGTATATCAAAAATACCATGATATTACTAAATGATAATCTGATTAGGCCACATAAGGACAGTGTAACCAGTGAAGATTGGTATTCTTTGGAATACCATGGTAAGTGAACATGGCAATCATTCAGTACCATCGTATTAGTGTGTTTGTCTGGACATGTGCTGTAGTAATACCACGTTTTCTAGACATGTACCATGGTAAAATCTTTGGTCGTATATTGGGGTAGTGCCATGGTACTCGAGTGCCTCGAAGAAACATGGTATATGAATATAGTAAACATTCAGTACTATAGTAAATATCAAATACATATCTATATACATAAAAAATACCATGGTTTTACCATCTGATACTGTGATTGGGTTTGAGTTAAATGAGTTATGAGTTAAAATTCCCCCTTACGTGTTTTCCTGTTGTGATAGTTTGCCTCATGACTGTGATATTTAAAAGCATCTCTGTGTTCAGTATGACTGAGGGTCCATTACTGCAGCTGAAGTGCTTTTGCTCGGCTGATCTCTGCTCAGAGTTTGGCAGCTTGTTCCCGATCGGCTCCACCTGTCCGCATGAGTTTGTCGGGCTGCTCTTCTCCGCTGGGTTTCTGGGAAGCTTTTACAGCATTTAAGGACAGAAAACTCAATTACTGTCTAAAATGAATCATGCGAGTCACAGTGAAACAAACAGACAGCGAGAGTGGCTTTCTTCAGGAAAACTAGAGACGAGTTGCAGCCTTCTGCTGCTTTACGTGGAAGACTCATTTAATGAAGATCATAATGCTCCGTGAATTCATTATGCTGAAACAGAATATTTCTATTGCCGGATGTTTAGGTATCATCATAAACAGATGTCACTTCAGACTAGGGATGCGCCGATCCGATATTCATATCGGGTATCGGCTCCAATAGTGCCATTTTTCCTGGATCGGGTATCGGTCAGAGAGAGCCGATCCAAAGCCGAGATTTTTTTATTTATTTTTCTTATTTTTTTTTCTTCGATTGTGTGAATTATTCTGTGTTACTTCT